AAAGGGAGTCCCAAGATATGCGTATACAAACCGGTTCGGCCGAGTTACGTAGGTCAACATTATCTAGTTAGATTAGAAGATTAACTTTGTGTACATGTACCTTCAATGTATATTAAGTTGCAATTAATTGACCTTGTTATAACTATGATACAGTTTTACATGTATATTTGAGTCCTGTAATTAGAAAACTTTGTCAGTAACGTTTGTGCGTACGGAAAATAGAAAATAATTTGTAGTTTATATAAGAATGAATGTAGTTTAGATCATAACTTTTGAAATGACGAGGGTGTCATTTGGTCCAAACTTGGGGGAATGTCAGGCCCCTGTGTTGTGCTCTGAGTCCAAGTTTAGTAAGATGTTATTTGGAGTTATCCCCCTTCACTAGTTATTCAGTAATGATAATGTACACTTCCATGTCTGGAAAACAGAGACAAGAGCATAATTGAAGTAAGTAGTGAGTGAGAGAAAAAAGCACATGGCATGGCAGGAATTGAGTGAAGAGGTTTTTTGGCAGTAAGCCATATAGTAGAAGTTTATAGGCAGTTAGCCAATTGTTGTTTTGAACTTATCATTGTAGTTATGTGTAAATTTAAGTAGCCCGGTGTAAAGGGATGAATAAAACAAGGTCTGGTGAATTAAATGACTTTTTATACGCCCACATTTTCATGTGGACGTATTATGCCGTCGCCCCTGTCCGTCCGGACGTCCGTCCGTCCACAATTGTTTGTGGACTCTCTACAGGTCACAATTCTTATCCGATTTTGACGAAACTTGAAATATTGGCATGTATCGGATCGAAACTTTGTGGATTATGGCCCCTGTTTGTACGAAAAATCAGGTTTTTAGCTTGTGGACACTATAGAGGTCACAATCTTTATCCGATTTTGTTGAAACTTGAAATGTAAGTTGATAACCCAAAGATCTCTGTTCCTTACGATATTCGCGCATATCGGACCGTAACTTCCTGAATTATGGCCCCTGATTGTACAAAAAATCACGTTTTCAGCTTGTGGACCCTATAGAGGTCATAATTTTTATCCGATTTAAAAAAACGTATTATTATATCACCGTTACACCCTAAGGATGGCCGAGTTCGAATTTCGTGAAAATCGGCCCAAAATTGACAGAGAAAATGGCTGCCGTTCGTTCTCAAATAGCGTAAAAATATGGTATATCAAGGTTGTGAACCCTATAGAGGTCACAATTTTTATCCGATTTTGTTGAAACTTGAAATGTAAGTTTATAACCCAAAGATCTCGGTTCCTGTCGATATTTGCCCATATCGGACCATAACTTCCTGAATTATGGCCCCTGATTGTACGGAAAATCATGTTTTTAGCTTGTGGACCCATTAGAGGTCATAATTTTTATCCGATTTAAAAACCGTATTATTATATTACCGTTCCACCCTAAGGACAGTTTAGTTTTAATTTTGTGAAAATCGGCCCAAAATTGACAGACAAAATGGCCGCTGTTCGTTCTCAATTAGCGTAAAAATATGGTATATCAAGGTTGTGGACCCTATAGAGGTCACAATTTTTATCCGATTTTGTTGAAACTTGAAATGTAAGTTTATAATCCAAAGATCTTGGTTCCTTTCGATATTCGTGCATATCGGACCACAACTTCCTGAATTATGGCCACTGATTGTACGAAAAATCGCTTTCTTTTTAGCTTGTTCTCTATCCATCTCTCGAAAAATGTGGGCGTATCCTGCCTGGCAGCCGCTGGTTTTATTTATTGTGTCTGAAGAGTGGCGTGACAGACTTTAAGACATGGTATCCTTCTATTACTAAAACCCAAAACATGTACCTATTACTGAATGTAAAATACCCTGTGTATCTGTGATTGACCCATTATAGACGATGTCTATCTATTACTAGTAGCTATACAGAAGGTGTACATGTATCTATTACTGATCAAAGATGCCCTATTTATCTGTAACTGACAGCTATCTATACACGAGGAGTATCTATTACTGATTAATAAAGATCCTTGGTGTATCTGTTATCTTTTACTGATTAAAGATATCCTGTGTATCTGTTACTGACATATCTATACATGATGTGCATAAATTACTGATTAAAGATTCCGGGTGCATCTGTTACTGTAATAGACCGTGTGTTACTGACTGTAAGACAAAGTGTGTATGTATTGATAAGACACCCCGTGAGCCTGTTACACATTGTATACTTGTTACTGACCGTAGGACACGGCATGCACCTGTTACTACTGGTTGTATGATTTTACCCGAGTTATGGTTGTAAGACACCTGTGTACTTATATTCGTTACTATCCATGCAACACAACATGTACATGCTTCTGCTACTGACTGTAACTGTCACATGACATCTAACAGTTATGAATTCTAAGATTCTGTTGGCAGCTGTTGCTGACTGTGATACACGACATGTATATGTTACTCCGTTTATCTGTTACTGACTGACACATCTATTACTAAAACCCACATCGTTTTAGTAAGACAACATGTTTATCTGTTAAACACAGCATGTATAATGTTTAAATCACCTCATGTACCTGTTACTGACTGTAAGACACAGCGTGATACAAAAATAAAAATAGTTTGAGTGCCCAAGTTTAGATTTGTCGTTGATTCCATGAAGTGTTTAGGTTTTAGAACGTTAAATACTGTGTGATTCAACATGGCGCCCAAGGGCTTTAATATAAAATAGGTACGAAATAGTACCAAATGGTTTATTGGTATGAGAGTCAAGGTTTAGACTATAATGCCTTGGAAATCAGAAGTTGGAGGCGACTGACATGTGTCTCTCTTATGTGGACCGATGTGAGATTGTCCGTTGTGTTAACTGGATGAGTAGGCCTATTCACCTTCGGTTATATGTCAATGTCAAATAAGCAGAGTCTTATCAACACGATCGGCTCTGGACCGGTTTATGACAAGTAACAATGTTACAAACCAACCCAAGGCACCCTAGTTAGCAAAATTATGGACACTAGCACTTCAATCTAAACGATTAGTACAACCCCGGTAAGCGAGCTAGCGACCCCGGTAACAAATTCGGCACCCCGCCAATTTGTCAAACCTCTGTACAACCCCGGTAAGCGAGCTACCGACCCCGGTAACACATTCGCAAACCCCGCCAAGGGGTCAACCCCAGTAACCCCGCCAATTAGTAACCATAGAAACCCCACTGGGGTTTCGGTATAGTATAAATAAAAACGCCCAATACGTGAGTCCAATCAGTCTGAAGAGTTCAATACGAACGAAACTAGTCACTGACATTCGGGATAACCAGGTCTTCATAGCCACCTTATCTCTTATAATTGTAAGACACAGCATTAACCAAAACATATGTGTTGGTGATTGCAAGACACCACATACCACGAATATTATGTAGTATTCGTTATCACATACTATTCGAAGTGACGTTCGTCACTCTGCGAATTGACAGTCACATGACCATTTGTGTGTGTGTGTGTGGGTGGGTGGGTGTGTGTGTGTGTGAGTGGGCAGATCATTGAATTGGGGGACACTTGTATGCTTGCACACCAACAATTGCTGGACCATTGGGTTTTCGAGGACCAAAATCGGTCCTCGAATTTAGAAACCGGTGTAATCTACTTTCCACCCCCTGTCGAGTTTATTTTTAGAATATCTCGGTAGTGCACGGTTAACCGTAAAATACCAACCCTTTGGGTGAAAGGGTGTGTTTTCCAGCCTGATTACCTCCCATGTCAGTTCATATTCACACAGCTCAGTTACGTCATTTATCACGCATGCGCATACTGTAAGCGTATCTCCGCCATATTAATAATAGCTTAAATCACCTCGGTGGAAGTGGACGTAAAATATAACTAACAAACAACAACAATCACGGTAAGGCACCATGTTTAGTCGAGTTAGAAATATTCATGTTATTTTTTTGCTGACCATTTTCCACTTTTGTTGTTCTGGTCATATTAACTGTTATGCTTGGTGTCATGTACAAAAATTGGGATCGACTTTTTCGACATAATATGCAACGTAGTAGACTATCAATAACTTGTCATTTAATTTAAGTTATCATCTGATCATTTGGGTCTAGTATCATTGATTCAGTCATTGACTGATTGAGTCTAGGCCTATATATATGTATTTGTATGAATGGTGAACATATTCTAATATTCTGGTGTTCAGTAGAACGAAATCTTGTGATGTTGAAATAAATTAAAAATGTCTCGGAGGTTTGTCTTGCGCCAATGGGCAATCGAAATTGACCCATGTTTTCCCTATTTCTGAACTAAAATCGTTATTTCAGAAATAGAATATTTCTATTTCATGACATAGATAGAATTAAAAGTGCACCATTGTCATTTAGCTACAATTATGTATGTATCGGTAAGGCGGAAGACGTACATCAGTAGTGGAACCATTTCTACATTGTCATTGTATTTCCCAAAGTAAAGCGATAATTGCATATTTTCTAAGAAAGTCAAAACATAATTATTTCTATATCTACTACGTACACAATCATAGGAATCATTCTAGCAATTAAAAAAACATTCACATAAAATTTGAAATAATTTCTATTCGCGGACGGTATTTAGAAATTGTCACGCGGAACACTACGGTATTTTTCTGCGCTAGATGTAGAATATCAGCGAGTCTGTCGAGGTTTGCCGAATGGGAAATTGTATCATTTCTTTTCACTGGAAAACTATGTCTACACAACGGAAGGGGAAATTGTCTCGATTGTCAAGGTCCGCGGTTAAACAGACAGGGATAATGATGCCATTTTTAGGATTATTCTTTAACAAGGTAGGACTGTGTGTATATAGAAGCCATGTATTTTAAGTCTTTATTTAAACATATTTTAAACATATGACTTAAAAAAATGCAATTATCGCTATATTTAAAGTAGTTAAATCTCTAACTCAATATCATCCAAAACCTTCGACAATGAAAACACGAATGGTGTTGTGATCTTAACAGAAAAAGGTGGGCTTCTGATATCCAATATTTATGACAAAATAAACATGTGGGCCTGGATGTCAAGGGGTATGGCCAGTCCAACTTAAACAGAGATTTGGGGACAACTTTGTGGATGTTAATTGTAATTCTGATGATGCAATGTAAGTCAACTTAAGCATTAATTAGAGTTTCACACTGCGTAGCTTGTGTGAAACACTATTGTTTTTGTTAAAATTATTCTTCTTCTTATTATTATTTTTTTTTTTCCAATTTGATTGTATCTCAGAAACTACATTTTGGATCGATACGATTTCTTCGGTTTTATTGGGAAAAGTGGGTGTGACTTAGAGATTAAAGCTATTTTAGGCATTCTGTGACAACGCGAAATGTCCGAAATCACCGAAGTTGTCGTTTTGTAAAAGAATGCCGTAGTATTAACAATAATCATTGAATTTTAACATATGATGCATTTTGACATAGCCGGAGACCAGGCACATAGCTGTGCTACTTTTTATTTTTGATTGTCGACAAATCTTCGTAGATATTAAGCGCCAAATTTCGAAAATTTAAAATTTTACAAAAAACTTTTTTATTTATGAATATTTTTATATGGCATTTTAACCAGGGTTGAAGAGTTATCCGATTTGACTAAAAATGTCAACATTTTTTGTGTCCGTAATTTTCCTTGGCCGCAATTGGCTAATTCAGTTTTTCAGTCCTAGATTAATTCTTTATTATTCGATTTGTACAAAAGAAAGTTCATATGCTGCATGGTCCAAAATTTTTTTGGTTACCGGTCAAGATTCGTGTCGGCACCGGAAGTGAAGTAAAATCAGCAAAAACTACAATTTTGACAGATTTTGACAGTTCGGTACAACTTTTTGAAAGCAAATCTTATTTTTTCAAAATTTGATATTACCAAAAGTATACGCCATGCAAAGGCGCACAAATCATCGGACTCAGTTTTTTAAATTTCGATTTCGTTTTCCGGCTATTTCGATTAAAAGGTGAAAAAAGGTGTAAAATTAAGCTATTTACAACCCATCCACCGTCTTCATATTTCATCGTAACTTTCATAACCTCGTAGCAATAACCCATACAAAGAGAATGTATGTCAAAATTAGTTTGTAATATCAGCAGTTTTCGAGAAATAGGCAATTTTGCATGAGTCACATTTCGTGCTATTTTGCCTGTACAAGAATCAATTATTATTCAATTTTCAATTTTTCTTTCACCATTTGATGCCGAATGCCACATTTGACTAGATTAAATCATTTTAACACATTTACTGTCACCGGAAGTGAGGTCATTTGGGCAAAAACTGAATTTTAGCCTTCAAAACAGATATTTTTTCAAATGAGTCATATACATGTATGTTATTTGTTTAAAAGTATGATATTTAATTTCAATCAACAAATAGAATGAACCCATACGACCATATAGATACCACAAAATGGGTTCTAACTTGTAAGGTTTCAGAGAAATAGACGATTTTCTACTAGTCACGTTTCAAGGTTTTTGGTCTATAACAGTGTCAAATATTATTCGATTTTCATAAAATTTTCACCATGTGATGCTTTATGCCATTTCTGATTTCCTAAAACTAATTTAACATTTTCATTCACACCGGAAGTAATGTCATTTTAGCAAAAACTGTATTTTTAGCCTTCAAAACAAATATTTTTTTGAAGTGAGTTATATTTAGTATTCGTTTACCATTATGATATTTCATTTCAATGGAAATATAGATTGGATCAATACGATCATAAATATGTCAAAAAATTAGCTTCTAACATCTTCTTTTGCAAAGAAATAACCAATTTCGTCAGGATCAAGACTTTTCGCATTTTTATTACAGTTTATGGGTTCTAAATTAATTATTTATTGCCTGATTTGTATAAAACAAAAGCTCATATACTCCTTGGTGCAAATTCTCAACTTGTTTCTACCTATAAAGTTTTCTGTCGGCACCGGAAGTGACGTAATTTTGCCTAAAATTTAAATTTTGGCGGGCCAGGAGGTCTTTTCCTAAGGAAAAATCTTGATTTCTACAAATCTTATCAATGAAGATGAATCCTCCTACTGCAGGCGCAAAATATGTCGGGCTTAGTTTTTTTTGGGTTTTTTTTTATATCAGTTTTGTATTTGCAGCATTTGGATTTAAGGTTGAAAAAAGTAGTAAAAATCAGCTATTTACAACCCATTCATCGTCTTCATATTTTAGATTATTTCTACGCAACTTTCATAATTTTGTAGCATTAATCCATACGAGGACAATGTATGTCAAAATTAGATTGTAATATGCGCAGTTGCAAAGAAATAGGCAATTTTGCATGCGTCACTTTTCACGTTGTTTTGCATGTAAAAGAGTCAATTATCGTTCGATTTTCAATTTTTGTTACCACGTGATGCCTCATGCCACCTTTGACTAGGTCAATCCAATTTAACATTTTCACTGTCACTGAAAATGACGACATTTGGGCAAAAACCCATATGACCATACAGATATCACAAAATGGTTTCTAATTTGTTCGGTTGCAGAGATATAGGTTTTGGTCTGTAAAAGTGTCAATTATTATTTGATTATCATAAAAATATATATACCATTAAATCACCCAGTTTGTACGCAGGAACCCATCTTTAATATTTATTTTGTACCTCTTTTATTTAAAGCAACAGTTCAGCTTTTACCCAATGAACACAAGGTATCACAAGACCAACCCAGTGTCACGCCTGTGGCTCCTCCCACAACAAGCCTTTCACCTTGCAAATTATGCTCCTACCCCAACCGGGGGGATAGGATGACCTGGTGGTGTAGAGTGTTGCGCTTCAACCTCTAGCTTGCTAGTCACCTCTGGCTTGTGGTTGTGGGTTTGATCACTGGTGCGAGTGTATGTGGTTTGGAAATTGGGGCACCTTCTCGACCCAATGGGTTTACTCCAGGTACTCCAAATTCCTCCCACAAAGGCCCTGCACATGTGCTGATTTGAATAAAATAAAGGTATCATAGAATTGTCCCAAAATGACCCCGTTGGTGTTGATTGGACATAAACCCACATTTCATTTCATTTCACACCCCCACCCCCAGCATGTTTATGTTCAAGATTTTGTTTACGTAGCGTTGAAATTACTATGCAGTAATTGTTTGAGTAACGACGGTATTCAAGAGTATAGAAATATAAATCAACATATAAGTTGGGTAATAGATATGAAGAATTTTTGCCAAGAACAGGCCTCTTGTCATGTAAATTTTTAATCTGACTCAGATTGAGAAATAATGAAATATCGTATATTTATGGCAATTGTATTTATTATTTCAGTTAACCATACCTCTCAGGTGCCAAGTTGTTTAACAGTGGATAGAGGGATTCCTAAAACAACAAATACCAGTTTGAAAGAAAAAAGAAACCCAGGTAATTTGCTGAAGTTCGTTCGTATCTTTAACTGCTTCCATTGTTCCCTTGGAGGTCAGTGGTGGCTCAGTGGATAATGTGCTTGCGACGCAATGTAAAATGACGCAATGTGTAAATTGTGTTATGGCATCAATATTGTATTGCTCTTACTGTGTACAGAATTAACATGGCTTACATGTAACCCATCTTAATCAGTACAAGGAATTGTTTTGACATAAGCCCATCGCTACTTCAAAATAGAGGATTAGATGTTACACACCAATTTTACGCCCATGGTTTCCTTGGGGTTTCTTGTTTTAGTTCTTTCAGAGCATTGTCATTCTTATCGAGAATTTTTGTTATGATGTTTTACACAATGGATTAAAATTAAGATGTGGATGGAAAGATTTTAGTCTTATGTTAACTATTTAATATTTACAGGTGGTGGTGGGAAGAAATGTCCACATAAGTCATGGTCCCAAGCTGAAAAGAGTTACCATTGAAAAATTCTTCAGTGATAATATAAGCAAATTACAGTTATCAGGTGTTGGTAAAAAGAAATGCGAAGAAGCGATTAAGTCTAGTCATGGTATTTTATGCTCTTGTAACTGGGTACATGTAAAAAGCCAAGTTAAGAACCTAATAGAGAAAAAAAAAAAGTTTAGAGAGAGAGAGAGAAATGGGGTTTAACGTCCACTCAACACAAACTAGGTCATTTTGGGACTAACATATGGTTTAATTTTATTTCAATAATTCGCTTGTGCGTAGGGGTCTTTAGCAGTGGGAGGAAACCGGAGGACTCGGAGAAAACCCACAAGGTTGGACAGGCAACCCTACTCCTTGTCACATACAACCGGGGATTCGAAACCTCGCCAGTTGACTCAATGACAGGCTTTATGATACAGCACGCGCGTGCTAACCATTCGGCCATCCAACCCCCCTAAAAAAAAAAAGGTTTAGAAAGGCTTCTATTAGAGGAATTAATTTCTATTTGTTGCCATTTAGTTTAGCATAATATGAATGCAAATTATTCATATGTTTGGTTCAAATGTACACCAGGAGTGCTGTTTTCTTTGTTATTCAAATCTTTGATTTCATCTTCATGGTTACTGTTAATTCTTGAAAAATGTTTGTTGGGTTACTAGAAAGTTGGGTTTCTTTAAGTAGATAAACCATATTGTACACTTCTATTTTGTCATTATCTGCCTATATGATCAGGAAAATTCAATCATTTTCGTATTTGTAAAATAGCTTCAATTATGGATTAAATCTTTAATAAAATACAGTTAGATATTCAGAAGTTAGTCCTCCTGTTTGTTTTAATATTTTCAATATGCAACTGAATTGAAATGAAATGGGGTTTTATGCCCACTCAACACCAACTGGGTCGTTATCAAATTTAACTCATGTGCACATGTCTTTGCTGTGGGAGGAAACTTGACTACCCAGAGTGAACCCAAGGCGGCACCCCTATCTCTATTTACTCACACCAGGGATCGAACCCACAACTGCAAGCCGGAGATGACCAACCAGCTAGATTGACAGTCTAGACCACAGGGCCATCCCACTCCCCGACCCATCCCACTCCCCGACCCCTCAATACGCAACTGAATGTTGTCCCATTCCTGACCTTCTGCGAGATTTACCTTGTTGTGAGACGCATGTGTGATACCTTTTGTTATGGTATTCTCAGTATGTAACAGTCAAATGCTGGTCTTTACATCCCGTCCTCATTAGAATTGATGTTCATTCAAGTAAGGTATCTACCTTTGCTCAAAACTCCTGAGAGTAGGTCGGATAAGAGATCACGTAATGAGAGCCAGTGAGAGATTGGATTTATATTATTTTAAATAAAACAAAGGCAAAGATATATATAATGGAGGGTACCACCCCACCTCTCCTGCCTAGTATAAATGAAACGAAACAGGGTTTTAACATCCTACTTTTCTGCACCGTACCCGGTAATGAAGATGGGGCAATACACCAAGCCGGGTGCTATGAGGGAAATTTGCCCTTTTAACTATTAGTGGTATGTGCATTTTTGCAAAAACAATTGAAAGTTGTAGTTGTGGAGGGAAAAACATGCATATGGGGGCCTAACAAGTAACATTTTATTTAATGAAAGGAATAGTTATTGGTGTTTGGTGGTCTTCAGATCTACTAAACATTTACTTGAAACACTTATTTTTGGAAAAACTGAGTTTTGTGGTCTAAGGGGGGACAACCAATGCCTTGTTCTCTCTTTCCTGTAATTAAACAAGTGGGTTTTTTTTATCTATTTAAAGAACTTAATTATTATGAGTGTTTGGTGGTCCTCAGATCTACTTATATTTACTTGAAACACCCAAGTGGTCTCAGAACACTTTAAAATATTGAACATGTGTAATGGAAGGTCCTTAGATCTAATAAGTTTCTACTGAACTTGACACACTCAACTGGTCTCTGAATCCAGTGAAAAAACTGAACGTGTGTGAAAATAAAGGTCCTCAGATTTTACTAATATTTACTGGTGTAAGTGTGTTCCTTTGGTCCTCTTTTTGTTGTAATACTTTTAATATGCAAGTGGGTGTTATTTTGATCCCTACATCCCCCCTCTCAACTTTATTTCTTGATAAAACTGAGTTTTGTGGTCTAAGGGGGGACAACCAATGCCTTGTTCTCTCTTTCCTGTAATTAAACAAGTGTTTTTTTTTTATCTATTTAAAGTACTTAATTATTATGAGTGTTTGGTGGTCCTCAGATCTACTATTTACTTGAAACAGCCAAGTGGTCTCTGAACACTTTAAAATATTGAACATGTGTAATGGAAGGTCCTCAGATCTAATAAGTTTCTACTGAACTTGAAACACTCAACTGGTCTCTGAATCCAGTGAAAAAACTGAACGTGTGAAAATAAAGGTCCTCAGATTTTACTAATATTTACTGGTGTGAGTGTGTTCCTTAGGTCCTCTTTTTGTTGTAATACTTTTAATATGCAAGTGGGTGTTATGTTGGTCCCCATATCCCCCCTCTCAACTTTACTTCTTGATACACAGTTTCTATTTTTAGAATGGTCCTCTTGCGCCACCAATTTATCAATATCACATATCTAGCATACCACTAAAGATATCGACTTTAGCATAGGCTCGGGGAGGTACACTACCGCCTTAAAGGTAACTGAGTCTATTTATGGCTTAATTGCAGTAGGGGTTACCATGGTCCCCAAAACAATGTAAAATGTCATGGTCCCGCAAAACCATAATCTGCCTGTATGGGTGTGTGTGTGTGTTGTGTAACCATTAACCAAGGACCTTGTATTAATTGGCATAAAGAAGGACATCTTAAATTTAGCCGATACACATGACAATTTTTCTTGATAACCAGCGGCTGCCAGGCAGGATACGCCCACATTTTCGAGAGATGGATAGAGAACAAGCTAACAAGAAAGTGATTTTTCCTACTATCAAGGGCCATAATTCAGGAAATTACAATTCAATATGCGCGAATATCGAAAGGAACTGAGATCTTTGTGTTATAAACTTACATTTCAAGTTTCAACAAAATCGTATAAAAATTGTGACCTCTATAGGGTCCACAACCTTGATATACCATATTTTTACGCTATTGGAGAACGAACGGCGGCCATTTTGTCTGTCAATTTTGGGCCAAATTTCACGAAATTCGAACTCAACCTTCCTTAGGGTGTAACGGTGATATAATAATAGGGTTTATTAAATCGGATAAAAATTATGACCTCTATAGGGTTTCGTAAAATCAGGGGCCATAATTCAGGAAGTTACAGTCCGATATGCACGAATATCGAAAGGAACCAAGATCTTTGGGTTATAAACTTATATTTCAAGTTTCAGAAGATCGAATAAAAATTGTGACCTCTATAGGGTCCACAAGCTAAAAACGTGATTTTTCGTACAATCAGGGGCCATAATCCATGAAGTTTCGATCCGATACATGCCAATATCGAAAGCAGCCGAGATCTTTTGGGGATAAACCTATATTTCAAGAATTGTGACCTGTAGAGAGTCCACAAACAATTGTGGACGGACGGACGGACGGACAGGGGCGACGGCATAATACGTCCACATGAAAATGTGGGCGTATAAAAAACGCTAAACACACCGATACACCCCGACGATACAGAACCGCTTTATCGAGGTATGAATTATAATCAAGTGATTTTTACAGGTATATCTATTTTGGGGCTTCTGAGTATGCCTGGATAGCCAGTTCTGATCGAGGTCATCCTCGGTTCGGGCCATGTCCGCAAATAGGTTTAAATCCTTATGTGTGTCTTCAATGGAATATAATACATTGATTCAGAATAAATTATAAATAAACTCACTTGCAAGGTAAAGTAGGGTGATGATATTGACAAGAATTGCCATTGACACATGCTGGCCAAAATTTGCATCTTTCTGCTGCTTTAGCTTGTTTTAATGGTGTCATTTCTACATCACAATCTCCATCACCTTCATCTTAAAAAAATTACATTATAAAGTAGGTCTACTAAACAAATGTAATTGATTTGTTAGTGTAGAATGTTTTTAATTGCGTGGTGTACATTATAAAACATAGCTTGCCAGGCAATGAAACATGCGCCTAACAGCAGCTCAGTCATAAAATTTCCAAAAAGATTAGAACATAATTAATTACATGCACTAGGTGCTAACAAATTTCATGACAAAGGTGAAATACTATGAAAGTTAATTATATCAAAATTTAGGATTCTACTTTTCCATAGGATGGAAATTAAAGACAACCAATAGACAGGTTAATAAGGTGGGATGCTGTTATGGCCATATATGCTACACATTTTTGGAAAATTTTGTTTGTTTTGGAAAATTTATTAACTTAATTCACTTTACTTTTTTTTAAAAATGCATTATTTTCAATCTCATTTTTAAAAGATAGCCACACAGCAGCTTTGTCTCAAATGCAGGTTATCCAAAAGGAAAACTTGGATGTTGCATGAGCAAAGCCTCTTATGACCCCATTGCTTCCAAAATCATAGGAAAATAAATCTGTTAAAACCTATCCTCTATCACGTTCACACGGTATTCGCCAAAGGGGGAAAACTCCAGAACGGAAGGCTGTGGATATTGATCGATGACCCAAATGCTTCAAGCCAAATATAAACCAGTGGCTGCCAGGCAGAATACACTCACATTTTGCAAGAGCTGGATAGAGAACAAACTAAACAACCAGCGGCTGCCAGGCAGGATACATCCACATTTTCGAGAGATGGATAGAAAACAAGCTAAAACGAAAGTGATTTTTCCTACAATCAAGGGCCATAATTCAGGAAATTACAATTCGATATGCGCAAATATTGAAAGGAACCAAGATCTTTGAGTTATAAACTTACATTTCAAGTTTCAACAAAATCGGATAAAAATTGTGACCTCTATAGGGTCCACAACCTTGATATACCATATTTTTATGCAATTTGAGAACGAGGGGCGGCCATATTGTCTGTCAGTTTTGGGCCATTTTCACAAAATTCGAATTCAATCATCCTTAGGGTGTAATGGTGATATAATAATACGTTTTTTTAAATCGGATTAAAATTATGACTTCTATAGGGTCCACAAGCTAAAAACGCGATTTTTCGTACAATCAAGGGCCATAATTCAGTAAGTTACGGTCCGATATGCCCGAATATCGAAAGGAACCAAGATCTTTGGGTTATAAACTTACATTTCAAGTTTCAACAAAATCGGATAAAAATTGTGACTTCTATAGGGTCCACAACCTTGATATACCATATATACACTATTTGCATATGGGGTGGCAATTTTTTCGTACAATCAAGGGTCATAATTCAGGAAGTTATGATCCGATATGCGCAAATATCTAAAGGAACCAAGATCTTTTGGTTATAAATATGTATTTTAAGTTTCATCAAAATCGGATCAAAATTGTGGCCTCTAGAGGGTCCACAACCTTGATATACTGTACCATATATTTACACTATTTGTGTACGAGGGGCGGCCATTTTGTCTGGCACTTTTGGTCTGATTTTTAGTCATCATTAGGGTGTAATGATAATATATTCAAACATTTTTTTAAATCGGACAAAAATTGTTACCTCTAGGGTGACCACAAGCTAAAAACAGGATTTTTCATACAATCAAGGGCCATAATTCAGGAAGTTACGATCCAATATGCGGGTGTATAAAAAATGAAATGGGGTTTAACGTCCTACTGTTATGCTTCGACTGGGGTAACAACGAGATGCTACGACCTACTCTGACATCGAATTCAAACTGCCTAGGGATCTTTTATGTGCACGCTAATGTGTTCACGGGACCCAAGTTTTTCATCCCATCTGAATGACCATACGTTGTTCCTTGCCAGGCCCTCTGTCCTGCACCACTGACAAGGGTGAACGCCGCCTGAAAATCCTGATGAACTCTCTCGGCCAGCACTGAGATCGAACAGGGGACCTCTAGGTTAGCGAGCCAACATCTTACTGAGCCACCACGGCTCCCATTCCCTAAAAACTATAGCCCTTATCAAGTTCACAAGGTTTTTCAGAAAAGAGGACATAACTCCGGAACGGAAAGTTGCAGAATGCTGAATATCAATAGGGTTCATCCTCTCATGAACCCAATGCTTCACACCATATTTTACTAAAATCAGTTAAATACTATATTATATCATGTTCACAAGGGGGGGATAACTCTAAAATGAAAAGTCACAGAAAGCTTAATATAGATAGTGTTCATCCCAAGGATTTTAATTGGCTGTTTTTTGTCAGCCTTAGCTGCTTGATGTTCAATCATGCCGACTGGTAAAACAATGAACTGGTCACTATAGTATCATAAATCAATCTACTTTCTGTTAAATTACAATGGGTTAATTATTATTTGTTGATTAAGAGAGAGAGAAATGGGGTTTAACGTCCACTCGACACAAACTAGGTCATTTCGGGACTAACATATGGTTTAATTTTATTTACATAATTCGCTTGCGCATAGGGGGTCTTTAGCAGTGGGAGGAAACCCGGAGGACCCAGAGAAAACCCACAACCGGGGATTCGAAACCACGCCAGTCGACTCAATGACAGACTTTATGATACAGCGCGCGCACGGTAACCATTCAGCCATCCACCCCCCCTGTTGATTAAGAAGTCAATCAACTTTCTTGACGGGTACAATAAGAGTCATACCTTAGTGAGAATCGGTCACATGGTTCATAGTTCATAATCCGAGTAATTAGCACATTTAACGGTAATTTTGATAATCCCAGGGACCGTACACAGATTCTGTCAAAAATTTATATTTTTATGAAAGCTTCTTTTTCTGTTTTTATCATTATCAAATATTATGATTTTTTTTTATAAAACTGCACTGACAGTAAATAAAGTATCTCCTATCTATGAAGTAGTGTTCAGCCAGTGTTATGCGGATAAAAACTGAAATGAAATGAAATGGGGTTTAACGACCTACTGTTCTGCTCCGACTGGGCTATGAAGATGGGCATACGCCATACAGTATGCCTTGAGGGAAATTTTGCCCGGACAGCGGAGCCAAGGCCTACTCTTATATCAAATTCCAACTGACAATGGATCTTTTATGTGCATGCCAATGTGTACATGGGACCTCGGTTTTTTCGTACGATCCAAATGACTAGACAGCTGTCCTTGTCAGGCCCTCCAGCCGGTACCACTGACAACAGGAAACGATGGAAAATTGTGATGCACTTTCTTGGCCAGCCTCTTACACATTTAACCACCGTGGCTCTTTCTATCAGTAACATTGGTGGCATTAATGGTCGCAGTCATCTTCTCCTTTGTTCATATACCCACATAACATTGACTGAACACTTGCCAAATATAAAATGAAAGAGCAGCAAGCTGGGGGGCATAAAATGGCTTGATGATTTTCTTATTCACATCCGGATTTATCAGTATAGAAATTTATTAATAATTCTATATTTTGAAAAAGGTTTTGTCTCATTTTATGATAACTCTATGAGAAATAGAGAAAATTTATATTTTTTATGATATTTTTCCATTTTATGATAATTTTATGAGAAATGACAAAATTTTGTGAAAATATAAATGTTTTTATATTGTACGTCCCTGCTATAGGCCTATGTCCTTATTTTTGTGGTAATTCTGGTTATATTAAAGGGAATGGAAGCTGATAATTACCCTATTTCCTACCGGGACTTCATTTGACCTAATTCTCGCTGGTTCATTTCAAAATGGATTAAGAACCTTGGTTCATCCTTTCATGACCCCAATGTTTCCCACCAAATTTGAAAGAAATCTGTTAAAAACTAGCCTCTATCCATTCACAATGTTTTTGGAAAAGAGGGATAACCCTACAACAAAAAAATCACAGAAGGCTGAATATCAATTGGGTTCTTCCTCTCATGACCTCATGCTCTCCACCAAATTTGAAAAACATCCGTTCAAAACTACAAAATCTATTGCTGTCACTATTGTTGGATAACTCCGAAACAGAAAGTCATGGTACACTGAATATGTTTTGACCACAATGCTCAATACCAAATTTGAAAACAATCTGTTAAAAATTATAGCCTCTATCACGTTCACAAGGTTTTCAGAAAGAGGGGCATAACTTGGGAACGAAAAGTCACGGAACACTGAATATCGATAGGATTTTCCTGTCATGACCACAATCATGACCCTCTTATTGAAATGCTGAATTTGAACAAAATCTGTTAATTATCGGCGGGACGATTTACCCAATACTACCAATACTACCAATACTACAACAAAATGGTGCCAAATGAGCATATTGCTTGACTTTTTTCAAAAATGGTGAGATATATCGTGGGAAATGTACTTCAAATGTGATTACCGATGTCTTGCTGTTCCATTTGCCTCCCTATATCACCCAAATCAAGCAAATAATAACCCAATACTACCAAATACTTTTAGATTTTAGATTGCTGCTCAGATTAATCATCTTGTTGGGCTTTGCAGTTTGTTTCCAAGACGACGAAGTTAAAATAAGGAAGAAAACAGGTTATTATAGATGCCTCCGCTATAGTGTATTCATACAATATTACAGGTTAAACGCATATCAATATAAAACATAACATAAAATAAAAAGAGTTTTAAAAGAAGTTAACAAAGATTTGAAAATGAATTAAAATAAAATCAGTTTATAAAATAAACAGCCAACCATCTAAATAAAATGTTCATTTAACGGTCTCGTGGCCAACTCCAAAAGTCTTCTTATACTATAATTATTTCTTCATCCTTGTGACTTTAGTATGATGACACGCTGTCTACAAGTGCATGCGGTCCTGTAAAAAATCATTTGGGTATAATATGTCAGGAAAGCACACAAATTTATCTTTATATCTGTCTTTTAATGAGTTATTAACACGTATCCTTTGTCTTTTAAATGATTCCGGTTCGAAACCAGATACCTTTGACAAACTCCTTCTTGTCAAAATTTCACGGATTCTTTGAATATTGTCACTATTGAATAAATTCTAAGTATTCTACGGTATATATCCACAGGTGACGATGTCGCAGCGATGTCATTACCACCTAAATGAATAGACACGGTCACCAGTTTCCTCCCACATATGCATATGTTTATATTTATTTTTTCATGTAAACGATTAAGTTATTGCAGTAAGTAAATACGCAATAGTTGACAAGAAAAAATGAATATAAACATGATGCAAATGTTTTATTAAAGCATTAATTTTAAAATAAATACAAACAATCGACACTAACTAGGTAATTTCGGGACTAACATATAGTTCAATATTATTTCATTAACTTGCTTGCGCGAAGGGGTGTTTAGCAGTGAGATGAAACCGGGGAACCCAAGAAAACCCACCTTGTTTAACAAGACGACCCTATCAAGTAGTAAGAGACAGATGGGTCATTTTGAGAATAAAATATGGTATATCGTCATACTTGTTTTTCTTATTTTAAGTTTGTCATCTTGGAAACCAACTGCAAAGCCAAAGAAGATGATTAAACCGAGTAGCAATCGAAATCTATTTACTGATCGTAAAGGGAGATAACTGGGTAAACATTTCAATTTTCTGCAAAATATCAAATATTCGTTGCAGTAATTATACTAATGTGCTGTTATTAGACAATATTAGTTTGTTATTTGACAATATTAGGTTGTTATATTTGATCATATTGGGTAGTATTCGATGAGTATTTGGTATTATTGGGTTATTATTGACTTGTTTGGGGTGGTATAGGGAGGCAAATGGAACAGCCATACATTGGTTTCACATTTGAAGTACATTTCCCTCGATATAACTCTCTATTTTTGAAAAAAATCAAATGATGTGTCTATTTTGCATCCTTATGTTGTAGTATTGGGTAGTATGTGGTGGTATTGGGATGGTATTGGATAGTATTGGGTAAATCGTCCCACTCGTTGTTAATTATGGCAACCTGTAGAGTATTTACCGATAAAAACTAACAAAAAAGTGGATGTAGTACCATACCCCTGGGGGTCGGGACATGCACCAAAATAAATAGTTGCTATCCTTACAGTATAAGGAATAAATAAAAGTTCCAAAATGATCTGTAGACAAAAAAATTGGGTGTGGCTCTGCCCCTGGGGGGCTGGACATGGACCAATATATATAGGTACAACCCTATGCTGGATCATTCCGAATTGGATCAAAATCTGTTAATAATTGCATATTAATATCATTTACAGACAAAATATCAACAAACAGTGGAGGAGGTGGTCATGCACGCGCTATCGTCTAAAACAATTAACCACTTACATCATTCCAATCGAAATATTCGTCAACATTTCTTAGCGTGTTTATTTATTTATTTAAAGACATAACCCCCTTCAAAATATGATCATAAATCCGACAATATGCTATCAAAATTGAATCTTTTCTCGAACATCAGGCGTATTGGATTCAGCACGTATACATCTCTTAATTTCACGTGTCTCGCGAGATTTGTACTTTCATTTTAATTACTGAACTCTATAAGCGCCATGTGTGTGAAATATCTTTATTTAACTTCGGCTTCCACCGAAAATATATCACAGACAAGTTATCGGATACAATGTATGTTGATTTGAGGTGTTATATACTATCAGGATATGTGACATATATGACTAATTTCTACGTGTTATTGTCCGACACAAAGGAGATTAAAACGTCAGACAATGGTCAATGGAGAAATCACGGGTTAATCAGATTAAATTTCTAATCACTCTTATTGGATTGATATATCGTCCGACAAAGGAGAAGCAATGACTTCTGTTCAGGATTGATTTGATGAATTGTCCGATAAAGAATTAGTTCAGCCAATCAAGGCAGAATAGTAGTTAATCAAGGTAGGTGTGTAAGACGATATAACACGATAAATAGTCGATCACTTAATTACCTAATCAAACAGCCTATTATCAACGATAATCGGGTTGCACGGTAGTTATACACTCAGTACACTATATTAATTTTGGAATTTGAATATTATTCACCATGTCTTGATGTCTGATTGGGCATATTCCCGGTCGGACAATTTTGGGCGTTTCGAAAAAAGATTCGGACAAGTCCGGAATATATGGGTAAAATCCCATCACTGCTTTACGTTATCTAGTTTTTAATTATTATAGTGAGAACTGCCAGCTCGTTATCAAATTTCCCATAATGTATCTTTAAGTAATTATCAGAAAATCATTAGAATTTGTTTGGTTTTATAAAGTTTTGCCCCATGCTAACGTTTAGTATACGAAACATTTAATATCATGGATTTAGCTGTTCAAGTTAGTCAAGGTATTGATGTTATGAAACGATACAGCAAATTTCATCACTCTCAATTAATTAGAACTAAAGTTATCGTGTCCCAAAGCATCAACCAATCAAATTGAATATCTCTGCTTACCCTAAGCAGAAAATGCTCATCTTCGAACTCCATCAAGGCATTGACCTAATAAATACCTATACCAAGTTTTAACATTCTAGCTCAATTAGAAGGAAAGTTATTGTCCCAAAAGGTGTAACGGATAGACAGACAGATAGACAGACAGACAGACTGACAGACGGACAAACCCATTTTAATAGTCCCCTGCTTTCTTCGACAGGCAGGACAAAAAGTTTGAATGTCGGATTTGTTGTTTTAAGGCAGTTAAGCAAAATTTCATTTTGTGATCCATAAAAGAGGCCTCTCAAATACATTCAATAGAAAACAATTTACCATCTGAGTCTTTAAGATTAATATTAAACGGTTTAACTTTAGGTGGGTTAACTTTATTTGCAGTAATTTCAGATTGTACTATATTACTCATAGCTATATCAGACTCATTTCTTGTATCGCCAGTAAATGCATCAGGATCAACACCATCCAATGTCACAACAAATTTAGGATTAAATGTTCGCCTGAAAAATAAAATAAAATAAACATTATTATTATTAGACCTGCAAAGGAGAGAGAGAGAGAAATGGGGTTTAACGTCCACTCGACACAAACTAGGTCATTTCGGGACTAACATGGTTTAATTTTATTTACATAATTTGCTTGCGCGTAGGGATCTTTAGCAGTGGGAGGAAACCGGAGGACCCGGAGAAAACCCACGAGGTTGGACAGGCGACCCTACTCCTTGCCACGTACAACCGGGGATTCGAAACCACGCCAGTCGACTCAATGACAGACTGTATGATACAGCGCGCGCACGCTAACCATTCAGCCATCCAACCATCCAACCCCCCAAGACCTGCAAAGGAGATATATTGTAATGAGTTTAGAAATAAGAGTATATTTATTTTTTTATTATACATGTAGAATCAGTTTAGTCATAAATATTCATAATGTTTGTTCAGTGTTAAAATGCATAGTAAATCTAGTTGGAACAGTGAGGCTGGGGAAGCATGGAAATGATGTCATTGGCAAGTGTGTGTTTTCTTTTAATTTGATTGGCTAATTGACATCACCTGCCACATAGAAGTTAACCTAATAGAAATAACAGCAATATCAGTATTTAAAATACAGATGTGACGTCACCCTTTGATGTTGGCGTACCATTATTTCAAATAATCGTACGGGCAACTTGCCAATCGTACCTTGTCAAATATTAGACTCGAGTGACGTATTTCACTGTAAATGCACGTGCGGAGTGTCTGTATTTTAAGATGTTTAATGGTCTCGAGCTGAGACATTGCGTAATATATTGTAAAAACACTCGGACCTGACGGTCCTCTTGTTGTTACAATATATTACTTAATGTCTCGCTCTCGACCATTAAACAATACTCAAACGAAAACTTAAAAAGTTTCGTTTTAGTTCTGGTTGTCCCCCTAAGCATTATTTAGAAGGCACAAGACAATTTGATATTCTACATAGTAGATTAAGCAACAAATCTAGTACTCTTAAATCTGATTTGTATAATGCAAATCTGATTCCAGATCCAAAATGTTTATGCGGCTTTAACAATGAAACTACATACAATTTCTTTTTGCGAAATTTACAAGAGAGCCTGGAGAAATATGCATGTTGATCTCCATAAACTTAATATAGATATGGCTTGTTTAAGATTCAAATCTATCACTATATGGTGATCACACTGAGAAGTAGTAATAGTGTTATTTGTACGTTTAGGGTATAGATATCAACTCATTTTGGTAAATTTGTATGAATATCGGTAAAATTCTAATTATCACAACAAATCTAATACGAAGAGGCTAACATATGTAAATATGGTGTGTTAATTAACAGGGGTGAGAAATTGACTGAAAGGTGATTTAATTATCGCTAGGGGTGAAAATCTCTGCGACGGTGCGTTTTCTGTACTGTGTTAATTAACGGACGGGTTAAAAACGACTGACACGGTGTGTAGTCTTTGTTTGGTGAGTTTTCTCGAAAGCGTGTTATAATTGTACCAAAGGTGTTTTATCAAGGACTAGCAGGCTTAATCTGACGTGTATGTGTTAAATCCAATTTACCGTGCGATTTCTTGTTCGACCATGTTTCATGCAGATCGATCTTTGTTAAGTGTAGGTCTTTATACATGGATTTATACGTGCTGTAGTGACATATGTGCGTTCTTATACATATTCCCTTACTTGATGAATACTACGTGTTTTATACTTCGTACCATAGTCGAGCTGCAGTTATTTATATATTTGTCTTTTTTGTGGGTTTAATTTGTTCACATGTATAACAAATGATAATTCACACATCGAATAACACTAATGCAAATAGGGACATGCTCCCGCGTTGATATTGCCCATTGTCGAACTATGTATGACCTAATATTTTTGATGCGCGTTCGATCAAACGTTATGTCACAAAATTGTCTTTGCATGCAAAATACAGACTTTAGATTTAATATGGAAATAGGGGCTTTATAAGAAGAGCTAAATTTAAACACGTGTTAATATTTCTATTGTTTACGATTGTATGAAATAGTTTATCATTTTTCTCCCGGTAATAATGAACTACGGGTCAAGTGGATCCAATTTTTATTATGTAATTTATATACGTGATGATAGATCGAGAGCACAGGCTCCATGTGTCGCCAACTTGTTCTATTTATAAAAGCATGCAATCACCTTTGGAAAACAGTTTGCAGTCTAAAACGACTTTAAAATTTCTTTTGTAATTTCAGTGGCTTTATTTTTGAAAAGATTTTCATAATATGCCGTAGTAAATTGTCATTTTGTTTTTATTGTCAATTCTGTTTAATTGTGAACATTTCGAAATCTTAATATTTGACGAAAAACAGGGCCCTTATTCACGAAAACTTAAACTAAGTTACAACCGAAATTTTAAGAAATACTGCAACTTCATTGGATATATGCAAATTGATTTTACTGGTCAGCCAATCGAATTGCAGTATTTCTTAAAATTTCAATTGTATCTTAGTTTAAGTTTTCGTGAATAAGGGCCCTGATCTTTAATCATGGATACAGGTTTAGAATAGTGTTATAGCATGATTTATTTGTTAAATGTGACCCCCCAAAGCATACTGAGTCACAATTAGGAAATTTTGAAAATTGAGTTATTGTTATTTTCACATTCTCCAACTCATTACCTTCAATTTGATGTATAGTTTTTTTGAATTGGCCAAAAATTGTCTGAGCTGTGTCCATTAGAAGCTACCCAACTCACAAAAGTAAGTTTTAAGAAAAAGCAAGTCAAAGATTTGGTATGTTCCAAAACAAAATCACATAGCAACCAGGCCATTTATCTGCTGTTTTGTCGTTGAATATATCTTTCCATGGGTTTTCAGGGGTGCTGGAGACGAAAATAGTAGTAAATTTGGATTATTAAATTTGGGATGACAACTAATGATTAAAAAAAGATCATCAACACCAATCTGTTTTCACTAATTTTATTGAAACAGATAATATGATAGCAGATAATATTGAATTTCATACACATGCATATATACAAGCTGAAATTCTGAGCACTGAAGAATTGTGTGAATATCTATTTACATTTGTGAAATAGTAACTATTAAACAATATATATATAACGATGCAATAATAAGGCACGATATACAATGTGATCGTACGTTACAAAAAAAAGAAGGAATTTCATACATACAAGTAAACCGAAATTATGAGCACGGAAGTGTCCATTAATATTTTAGAAATTGTTTTATGTAGTACACGATAAATCATCGGTGTCATTCCAAAACCTCGTAAGTCGGCATTTTTTCAAAAATCACTTTTTTGCATAATTTAATTTATTAACATAAAATACATGCTATATAAAAAAATCAGAGTTCTGCGATAAATACTTTTCATTTTATTAGCGTGTGACCAAACCTTGTATCACGATTGGCCTGATTTTGTTCTTTTCTAAATGCTCGTATCTCGGCAACGTGTTATCGATGACGGTGTCAAAGGCCTTAAAGCGGTATAATATATGACAAAATTTCGCAGGATAATTGTTGTAATAAGATGTGTCATAGTAGACATAATTTATAGGGAGTAAATAATATCATTGCTTGTATTGTTTTTAAGGTGGAGATTATCTCTTTTTAGTAACAAAATAAGGTAAAGGCAATACCAAGTCATTACTGCCAGGCTACGTCAAATAAATCTTATTTAGTGCCCATGTTTGTCAGTTTTACGCTTCTATATTGAAAATACAAAAGCCACTACAAAAGACCTACCTGTGGGTAATAACCCTTAAGTAACTTAATCAACTGTGGGCAGTATCCCTTAAGTAAGCTACCTGTGGGCAATATCTCTCAAGTGACTTACCCCGCTAGGAATCTAGACTTACCTGTGGGCAATAACCCTCCTCAAGTAACTTACCAGACTGAGCATCTAGACCTACCTGTGAGCAATAACCCTCAAGTAACATACCCGACTGGGCATCTGGACATACCTGCGGGCAATACTCATCAAGTAACCTATCCCAGTGGGCATATAGACCTACCTATACGTGATATCTCTCAGGTAAGTTACCCGTCTGAACATTTTTACCTACTGGTAGGCAATACCCTTCCAGTAAATTACCCCACTGAGCATCTAGGCTTACCCTACTGAGCATCTAGACCTACCTGTGGGTATAATAGCCCTTAAGTAACTTACTTAACTGTGGGCAGGACCTCTTAAGTAAGATACTTGTGGTCAATCTCTCTCTAGTAACTTACCCCACAGTAAGCTACCTGTGGGCAATATCTCTCAAGTGACTTACCCCGCTAGGAATCTAGACTTACCTGTGGGCAATAACCCTCCTCAAATAACTTACCAGACTGAGCGTCTAGACCTACCTGTGGGCAATAACCCCCAAGTAACGTACCCGACTAGGCATCTAGATATACCTGTCGGCAAAACTCATCAAGTAACTTATCCCAGTGGGCATATAGACCTACCTATAGGTGATATCTCTCAGGTAACTTAGCCATCTGAACATTTTTACCTACCGGTAGGCAATACCCTTCCAGTAAATGGCACCATGAGCACCTAGGCTTACCCTTTTGAGCATCTAGATGTACCTGTGGGCAATAACCATCAATACCGTACCCCACTGAGCATCTAGACTTACCTGTGGGCAATACATATCAATAGCGTACCCTACTGAGCATCTAGACCACCTGTGGGCAATACTCCTCAAGTACCTTACCCTACTGAGCATCTAGACATACTTGTGGGCAATACGCCCCAGACAGCTTACCCCACTGAGCATCTAGACCTACCTGTGGGCCATATCCCTCACGCCACTTACCCCACTAAACATACAATGTATATAACTAGCTGCATGCAATATCCCTCAATTAACTTATCCTCCTGAACACCTAGACCTCAATTTAAGGTATCGAGGTTTTGGGTCTACTTTGCATCTAACTGTTGCCGAAATTCGCACGTAACTTGCCGCCCCTACCTACCCACTGTCAATACCCGAAAAGAGAATGGCATAATAAAAT